CCTCCCAAATGTTCACGCAAAGAAAGAAGGCGTAACTTTTATTCTCGCTGTAGTATTGTTGCTGCCGCCATGTCGTGAAGGCGCTGTGTGTTTCGTTGTGAAAGCGAAACTACTTTGTTTGGCCTTCCAAAAGAGGACACGACTAGAAATCAGTGGTTAAGTTGTATTTACAACACTGTTCCAGAACAGTTCAACCCAAATATTCCGATGTGTCCAGTGCATTTTATGGAGGACTGTTTCCTGATCCTGGTAGAGTAGACTACAATGCTGTGAGTCACTGGCTAGCTGGCCAATCAGAGCACACCTCACTTTTTAGACCGATGAGCTTTGTAAAAATCAACGCATTTCAGAAAGGCGGGGCATAGAGGAGAAACAATAATGTACAGTATGTGGAAAATAATGTGTTTTTTGAACCTTAAACCGCATAAACACATTTCATTACACCAAATACACCAAAGTTCATTTTTGGGTGAACTATCCTATTACTATGAACTATTATTTGCCAAAGCAACATTCCTCATTTTTTATTTAGTTAACTTTAGTTTAAATGTACTAAATGAAACTGAAATAAAAACGAACAAAAACTATATAGACATATTTTTTTAGAAAACACTATACAAATGCCAAAAGACAACAAAATGAATAAAACTTTAACTAAAATTAAAATGAAAACAGAAAATATACAAATAACAACTGATTCAAACTATAATAGTATCTCAATGATACTAAAATAATACTTAGTAGTGTGGAAATCACAGTTACATCATACTGCCAGTAGGTGATTCAGAACTGCAAACTACTCCTAGTATTTTATTATCTTTCTATGGCAAAAGAAGTGAGAGTAGTATGCTAGTATGCTGTTCTGAATTCATCACTTGACTTAAAAGAATCGTTCAAAACACAAATTCATGATTGAGTCACTAAATCGTTCACTTAAAAGATTTGTTTCGCGACACTTGATTCTGCTTTTGCTTCTACTGGAACTATTTTGTTGGTGGAGCAAATCAGTCAATATTAACTTTTTGTTTATTTAGCTGTTAAATAAAATCAATATCATAATGGCAACTGTGCCATATCATTCTGAATATACAAAGTGTGATTACTTGAGACTTGCGTTTGATATTGCTTAATTTAGTTGAACATATAAAATATGCGCTAGAATAATATATTTTATTAAATATTTAGACCTTTGTGACTAAGAGACACAGGGAAAGAAAAAAGGAATTATATCTTACATCACTTTCGTTCCACAAGCCAGGGATGCAGAAAGATTCCAGGAGATCGCTGCCACAAAGGAGCAGGATTCGCAACTCTGAACACACCACAATCACAGTTCCACATCACACCATAAAAAACACAAGACACAGTAATGAGATGTTTTCCTCCGATGTGGGGGTAAACACAACAACTTTGATAAGATGAAAAAGAAACAAGTCACATTTTCCCCATGAGGAGGAAGAATAAGGCACTATACAGCGCACAGATGCCTTCTTCACAGTATATAGACAAACACCATCACATGACTTATAGAAAGAGTTTGACTGTTTTGTCTATTTCTCTGACAGCCGTTTGTCTGTCTTTGTCTTATTTGATGTTATTTATATTTTCCTGAGGAGAAATATACAGTGAGTTTTTTTCTCTCCCTGAGCAAACTCAGTATTTTCTGATGATGACTCAAAGTGACAAGCAAGAACTGATTTGAAAACCAAAAACCAAGGCAAGGAAAATCACATCGTCTCACCAATTTCCTCGTAGCGCATTGCAGTACCAAGGTTGGCATTTTCGTCTGTTCAGAAAAAACAGAAAAGCATGGGAGGTCACAGGGATAACTGATTCATTGGAAGTCACCGGAGTCATGTAAAATTGATACACATCTTGTGTGAAGTATATGAATAATTCAAAATAATTATACGGAATTATGTGATTTCTACATGAACCAAACCACAAAGCTGTGGCATATCTTTGTTACTGACATTTTTTTGGACACAAACTGAAAGGGGTTGAAATGGTGGCATTAAAATTACATACTTGAAAGTGTGGGGTGGTTAATTTAATGCATTAATTTGGTGTGATAAATTACTTTAAAATGCAATAAAAAATTAACACAATAGTTAAATAAATAGACTTTTGTAATGTCTATTCAGTGGTTTTGTCTGTCATAATGTAAAGTCTTGAATGATCTGGGGTTTTTTAACAAATATTTGTATATGTGATTTATTGTGATCAGTGTGATTAATTAATTTGCATGTCATGTAATGAATACAGTTAAAATTTCTAATCAATTCTCCAGCCATTGTAAAAATTAAATGACATATGAAGGACTGTTTCTTCTACAGCGTCAAAAAGAAAAAGGCAATTGTGACTTATCTCACAATACAGACTTTTTGAATTGCAAGATATAAACTGAGAATTGCAAGTTTACATTTATAGAATTGTAACATTAAAACTCAAAATGTAAATTTATATATATACCTCCGACTTACTTTCTTGCAATTAACATTTATTTTACATTTATATCTCGCAATTTTGATTTTTTTTCTCTGAATTCTGAGTTTACATCTCACAAAAACGGAAACAACTGTTTCTTCTACAGCGTCAAAAAGAAAAAGTCAATTGTGACTTCTCACAATACAGACTTTTTGAATTGCAAGATATAAACTGAGAATTGCGAGTTTACATTTATAGAATTGTAACATTAAAACTCAAAATGTAAATTTATATATATACCTCCGACTTACTTTCTTGCAATTAACATTTATTTTACATTTATATCTCGCAATTTTGATTTTTTTTCTCTGAATTCTGAGTTTACATCTCACAAAAACGGAAACAAGGGCCCCACTTTATATTACGTGGCCTTAACTACTATGTACTTACATCAAAAATTAAGTACAATGTACTTATTGTGT